AAACTTTGTGTAATAAACTACTTTTTAGTAAAGAAAAAAAAAGTAATGGGATTGATTACATTTGTTTTTCTCCCTAAGATGGTGTATGACTACTGCTATGTATCAAAAGTAGGTTATTCATTAGGAACAGTGGATGCCTTGGAGTACTAGGAAGCCCAGTTAAGAGGAATAAATTAGTCAAAGTTTGAAAATATCAAATTTGTACAGAAATATCCTGAAAATAATTTCTTTTTTAATATTTATTTTACTTACTTGAAAGAGTTACAGAGAGCGGTAGAGAGAGAGAGAGAGAGGGAGGGAGAGAGAGAGAGAGAGAGAGAGAGGTCTTCCACCCACTGGTTCACTCCCCAAATGGCCGCAATGGCCGGTGCTGAGCCGATCCAAAGCTGGGAGCCAGGAGCTTCTTCCAGGCAGGTCTCTGATGTGAATACAGGGGCCCAAGAACTTGGGCCATCCTCTGCTGCTTTCCTGGGCAATTAGCAGGGAACTGGATAGGAAGTGGAGTAGCTGGGATTTGAACTGGTGCCCATATAAGATGCTGGTGCTGCAGGCAGGGCTTTAACCACTATGCCATGGTGCTGGCCCTAGAAATAATTTCTCATTGGTTTGTTTTTAGACAAAGTTTTGGACTCTTGAAAAAACGACTAAACCAAGTACTTAGTTCTCTGCTAGTTATGTGAAAAACCCAGGTGGAGTTCTGGTTCCTGGCTTCAGCTGCTTTAGCCCTGGCTGTTGTAGACATTTGGGGAGTGAAAGAGGGTGAAAGAGCTCTCTTGCCATCTGTGTCTCACTCTTTCTCTGTCACTCTGCCTTTCAAATACATAAATCTTAAAAATTTAAAAAGAGAGGAAACTCAATAATATCTTCCTTAGTAAGATCTATCCATTCCACACCATTCATTCATTCATTGATTCAAAAATATCATTTGTTGACCCTTTATATTCCAGTACTATTCTAAGTGCTAAGAGTGTAGTAGGGAGTAAAGGGTTAAAAATTTGTGGCCTCATACAAATTTGTGTGCTTATATTCTAGAGAGTAGAATCTGATAAGTAAAATACATGGTAAGGGGGTCCACATAGTGGCAAACAGTAGGTTAAGTGGCCTCCTGCTATGCCAGCATGAGTGCTGATTTCAACCCTGGCTGCTCTTCCTCAGATCTGGCTCCCTCCTAGTGTGCCTGGGAGAGCAGTGGAAGATGACCCAAGTGCTTGGGTCCCTGCCATCCATGTGGGAGACCTGGATGGAGTTCCTGGTTCCTGGCTTTGGTCTAGCCCAGCCCCTGCCATTGCAGCTATTTGTAGAGTGAATCAGCTGATGAACAATCTATCTCTTCCTGTCTGTCTCTCTTCTGTTTGTATAACTCTGCCTTTCAAATAAAGAAATTAATCTCGGGACTGGCACTGTGGTGTAGTGAGTAAAGCTGCTGACTGCACTGCTGGCATCCCATATGGGTGCTGATTCAAGTCCCAACTGCTCTGCCGCCGATCCAGCTCTCTGCTGTGGCATGGGAAATCAGTAGAAGATGGCCCAAGTGCTTGGGCCCCTGCACCCATGTGGGAGACCCAGAAGAAGCTCCTGGCTTCTGGCTTCGGATTGGCCCAGTTCTGGCCATTGCGACCGTTTCAGGAGAGAACCAGCGGATGGAAGACCTCTTTCTCTCCCTCTCTCTTTCTCTCTGCTTTTGCCTCTCTGTAACTTTGCTTTTCAAATGAATAAATAAATCTTTTTTAAAAAAAGAAATAAATCTTTTAAAAAAAAATAAAACAGGTGAGCATGGAGGACTTGGGATAAGGGAAAATGGAGCCTATAATTTTGAGTAGGATGACCAGGAAATACTATATTGAAGAAGTAATATTTGCATAAAAACCTATAGGAAATGAGCATCTGAGCCATACAGATAGCTAAAGGAAGAGTGACCCAGCAGAGATTTCAAGTTTTCTGGCCCTGGGTCCAGAACCTGTATGATTGATTTGGGGTACAGTGAGGAACAGTGTGACTGGTGTGGGGTAAGCTAGAAGTAGATTAGCAGGCCAAATTGTGTAAGGCTTTGCCATTTAACTTTTACTGTGTCAGTGGGGGGACAATGGATTTTGAGCAGAGAAACAGCATGATCTGATTTATCCTTTTACATAAACACCTTGGGGAGTACATTTGGTGTAGTAGTTAGCTCTGCCTCCTGGAATGCCTGCATCTCATACTGGCACAGTGCCTAGGTTCAAGTCCCAGCTCCACTTCCACGTACAGCTTCTTGTGAATGCATTACCTGGGGGACAGCAGCTCAAGTTCTTGGCCACCTGGCACACATGTGGGAGATCCAAATTGAATTTCAGGCTCCTTTGTCTTTGCCTGGCCCTAGTTGTTGTGGACATTTGGGGAGTGCACCAATAGATGGAAGATCTCCTATCTGTATCTGTCTCTCAAGTAAATAAAAAAAATAAAAAAATAAAAAAAAAAGAATGCTGTTTTCACTGTTGTGTGTTTCCTCAGGGAGACAAGATCAGTTAGGAAACAATAGTCTTCCAGTGAAAATATAGGGTGGATTGGATTAGAGTGAAAGCAGATGAGATGTTGACGAGTGTGGGGTGTGTTTTGAGGATGGAATTAAGAGGATTTGATTGTATGTGAACTGTGTGAGCAAGAGTGGGTGAAGATCACTTCTAAGGTTTTTGGCCCAAGTACCTGAAAGGCTGGTGTCATTTACTGAGATGGAACAGAATGCAGATGAAGCTGATTTGTAGGGGAAAGATAAGAAGCTCAGCTGATGGGCTTGATACATCCACCTCCCATATTAGAGTGCCAATTCAAGGCCTGGCTGCTCTACTACTTATCTCGTTTCTTGCTAATATATTCTAGGAGGCATCAGATAATGAATGACCCAAGAACTTGCGTTTCTGCGACCCACATAGAGTCTGGGGCATGTTAAACTTCAGATGCCTATTGGTATTCAAATGTAGGTGTCTAGTATATAGTTGGTTATACAAATCTGGAATTAGGAAGGAAATTTGGGCTGTTGATGTAAATTTGGGAGTTGTCAATATATGTGTATGTACAACCATGATACTAGATGAGCCCGCTAAGAATGTGAGTCTATAGCCAAGTCAAGAAGTTAGAGGCTTGAGACCTGAGTCCTGGAATTGAAGAGGAACCAGCAAAGGAGATGGCTGTTGAGTAGCCAATGGGGTAGAAAGAAAATCAGGGGAGTGTAGTACCCTGGAAGCCAAGGGGGGAAAGTATTTTACAAATCAGCTGAGTTAAATGCTGCTATTTGACCAAATAAGATGAAGAACAAGAATTGACCACTCAAGGTTGGAGGGGCTTCCTATTCTTTTTTTTTTTTTTTTTTTAAGATTTATTTTATTGATTTGAAAGACAGAGTTACAGAGAGAGGTAGAGACAGAGGGAAAGAGTCTTCCATCTGCTGGTTCACTCCCCAAATGGCTGCAATGGTCGGAGCTGGGCCAATCTGAAGCCAGGAGGCAGGAGCTTCTTCTGGGTCACCCATGTGGGTACAGGGGCCCAGAGACCTGGGCCATCCTCCGCTGCTTTCCTAGGTGCATTAGCAGGGAGCTGGATTGGAAGTGGAGCAGCTGGGTCTCGACCTGGCACCCATATGGAATCCCAGTACTGTAGGCTGGTGCTTTAACCTGCTGCACAACAGTGTCAGCCCCAAGAGGGCTTCCTATTCTTAAATCATGTGGTTATGTTTATAAAGTAGTCTAACTTCTGGTCTCATTGCTAATTTGTCCTGAAAAAATAACACTGGTATTTCTTTTTGTATGAAAGAATTACTAATAATTTCAAATGAAGAATTTTCTTCTGGCCTACTAGAATGTAATACATTGCTGAATGAGTCATTTAGCTGAATGGCTTAGTGAGGATCTGGGATGCATGATGTCTGAGAACACATTCTACTCTCTGGGGAGGCTCTAATACCTCCTGAAAAGGACTTATCAAATCAGGTGCCACTTGTTGCCACCTGTGCTTCCATTCTCTGGAAGATGCACTCATCAGGATTTACAGACCTGTAAAGTCAGAGACAATTAGGGGCCAGTGCTGTGGCGTAGCAGGTAAAGCCACTGCTTGATGTATCAGCATGCCATATGAGTGTTGGTTTGGGTCCCAGCTGCTCCACTTTTTTTTTTTTTTTTTTTTTTTTGCAGTAGGTTTCCAGAGAGAGAGACAGAGAGAAAGGTCTTCCTTTTCTGTTGGTTCACCCCCCAGTGGCTGCTGCGGCTGGCGCACCGCGCTGATCCGAAGCCAGGAGCCAGGTGCTTCTCCTGGTCTCCCATGCCTTTCTGGGCCACAGCAGAGAGCTGGACTGGAAGAGGAGCAACCGGGACAGAATCCAGCGCCCCCACTGGGACTAGAACCCAGTGTGCCAGCACCGCAGCCAGAGGATTAGCCTATTGAGCCATGACGCTGGTCCCCGGCTGCTCCACTTCTGATCCAGCTCTCTGCTATAGCCTGGGAAAGCAGTAGAGGATGGCGCCCAAGTCCCTGGGTTCCTGCACCCACATGGGAGACCCAGAAGAAGCTCCTGGCTCCTGGCCGTCTTCAGCTGCTTTCCCAGGTCATTAGCAGGGAGCTGGATCAGAAGTGGAGCAGCTGGTATTGAACCAGCGCCCCTATGGGATGCCAGTGCCACAGCACTGGCCCTCCAGGAATAATTTTCTGACATTCTGTATATATGCAACTTGTACTTTTTAAGCTATCTACTTCTATGTGTATTAAAGAAAATGAGATAACTGCATTACATTAATTCATGGTCTGTCCTAATGTGTCCTTGATGGCATCACACTCAGAGGTAGGAGTGAGGACTCCTATTAGCACACATCATGCCCTTCATTTTGACTCTGGATTTTTTTAATCAATTGCAAGCATATGGGAAGTACATTTAGTTCTGTAGCTATCAGCATGAAGATGTTAGCATAACAGACTGGAATGTGAGAAGCTTAGTAACAGCATTGTGCTTTCTCTCTTGTCTAACCTCTTCCCTACAGGGAATCTTTAACCAGTTTCAATGCAGTAATGAAAAAGTGCTTCCATCTGACACTCTGCGCAGTGCTCTGGCAAAGACTTTCCAGGATGAACAGCGTTTCCAGCTGGGGATTATGGATGATGCTGCGGAGTGCTTTGTAAGTGCTGGCCTCTGGCCCTCTTTGATATGTGGTGGGACTGTTGATGGTCCCCATCAGGGACTGGCTACTTCATGATGGAATTTGCTGTGCCCTGATCTCCACAGTTAGAATTGGGAGTTTCTCTAGTTTTACAGAACTCCAGAGTGTCTCTGACACTGCAATAGCAGATTGCTATTGCGGTGTCAGTCACATAGGGTATATATTATTTTCCTTCAGACATAGTGTCATTTTGTGCTTGCTACTGCATAAAAAAGTGGCTTTCACCTTCAGAGGAGTGACAGCTCATTAAAGCACAAATTTTAAGTGTACTCCCAGAGTTTCTCATTCAGTAGCATGGGGTGGGTTCCAAAAATACCCATCTCTAACAAGTTCCTAGGGGATCCTGATATTGGATGAAGCTGGGAACCACAAGTTTTGAACTCCTCCGTTTCTTTCTTTCTTTCTTTCTTTCTTTTTTTTTTTTTTAATTTTTTTTTTTTGACAGGCAGAGTGGACAGTGAGAGAGAGAGACAGAGAGAAAGGTCTTCCTTTGCCGCTGGTTCACCCTCCAATGGCCGCCATGGTCGTGTGCTGTGGCCGGCGCACCGCACTGATCCGATGGCAGGAGCCAGGTACTTATCCTGGTCTCCCATGGGGTGCAGGGCCCAAGTACTTGGGCCATCCTCCACTGCACTTCCTGGCCACAGTAGAGAGCTGGCCTGGAAGAGGGGCAACCGGGACAGAATCTGGCGCCCTGACCGGGACTAGAACCCGGTGTGCCGGCGCTGCAAGACGGAGGATTAGCCTAGTGAGCCGTGGCGCCAGCCTATTGAACTCCTCCGTTTCTAAAGATAATTGGGCAGGGAATAACTGAGTCCCTGGCACAAGTGTGATATACTTTATAGACAGCTACATTGCACCAAATAACTTTAGTAGAAGATACTGACTCTTTTGAACTCTATGCTCCTTCAACCTTCAAAAAGTTTTCTGTTGTACAACTGTTAAAAATATCTGAATGTGATATACACCCCACTACAGGGTAAAAATTGGGCCCAAATCAGAGGTACCCCTGGGAACCTGGATCACTGATACTTGCTGGTAGGAATCTGAAAGAATATAGCTATTCTGGAAAACAGTTTGGCAGTTTCTCTCTCTCTCTCTCTCTCTCTCTCTCTCTCTCTCTCTTTCTTTCTCTTTTAAGATTAATTTATTTATTTGAAAGGCAGAGTTACACAGAGGCAGGGAAAGAGAAAGAGGGAGAGAGAGGTAGGTAGGTCTTCCATATGCTGGTTCACTCCCCAGTTTGCTGCAACGGCTAGAGCTGGGCCAGTCTGAAGCCAGGGTCCAGGAGCTTCTTGCCAGTCTCCCACAAGGGTGCATGGGCCCAAGGACTTGGGCCATCTTCCTCTGCTTTCTCAGGCCATAGCAGAGAGCTGGATCAGAAGTGGAGCAGCTGGGACTCAAACCGGCGGCCCATATTGGATGCTGGTACTGCAGGTGGTGGCTTTACGTGATACCACAGCGCTGGCCCCTTGGCAGTTTCTTAAAAAACTAAAAATGCATGCCATCATATGGTCTAGCAGTTGGATTCCTGGACATGTATTCCAGAAATGAAAACTTAATATGAAAATCTATATGTGAATCTTCATGGAAGCTTTATACATAATAGTAAAAAATGGAAGCAACCCAGATGTTCTTCAGGGGTACATGATTAAAATAAAGTGAGCTATTGATTTGTTTAATAATTTGAATGAATCTCAAGGGAATAATGCTGAATGAAAATGCAATCTCAAAAGATTATGTACTGTATCGTCCCATTTACATGGCATTCTTGAAATAACACATTGATAGAGATGGGAAAACACATTAGTGGTTGCTATAGATTAGAGATGATTTGGATGGATAAGGCTATAGAGGGGGTAATATGAGATAGTGTGGTGATGGAATTTTTGTATATCTTGATTGTGTACAATCACATATACATGTATCACATGTATTACATGACTGTACATGTGATAACATTGCATAGAGCTACACACACACAAATAAGTGCATGTAAAACTGCTGAAATTTGAATAAACTGGATTATATAACTATACATTTCCTGGTTTTGATATTGTTCTAAAGCTTTTTTTTTTTTAATTAGAGATATTCCTGTTTTCTAGTAGGGTTGCTATTTCTCTGGGTAAACTGCTTTACCAATTCGTACATTTGTCTTTTAAGTATTATTGATGCTGTTTTTGTTCTTTTCCTGTCAGGAAAACCTCCTGATGAGAATTCACTTCCACATTGCTGATGAGACCAAAGAGGATATATGTACTGCCCAACACTGCATATCTCACCAGAAATTTGCAATGACGTTGTTTGAGCAGGTGAACCCTATCTATATCCACATCTCTTCTTTGACGTTTTATCCAAGAACACCTTATTCATGGGGTCTGGGGTGTTAAATGGGTGCCAGGACAGTTCATGACCATGATTGCTTGGTTGTGCTTTCTTCTCTCCTGCCTAGTGTGTATGTACCAGCTGCGGTGCCACTTCTGATCCGCTGCCTTTCATCCAGATGGTGCATTACATCTCTACCACTTCACTTTGGTGAGTCTTAGAGGTGTTGTTGTTTAAGATTTATTTATTTATTTACTTGAAGGGTAGAGTTACAGACAGAGAGATCTTCCATTCACTGGTTCGCTCCCCACATGGCCACAATGGCTGGGGCTAGGCCAAACAGGAGCCAGGAGTCAGGAGCTTCATCCAGGTCTCTCATGTGTTTTCAGGGGCCCAAGCACTTGGGCTGTCTCTACTTCCCTTCCAAGGTGCATTAGCAAGGAGCTGGATTGGAAGTGGAGCAGCCAGGACTCCAACTGGTACCCATATGGGATGCCAGCATTAAAGGTGGCGTTTTAACCCATTGCACCACAATGTTGGCCCCCTTACAGGGTTTTCTGTTGAACCTTCAGGCACTTTATCAGTTGGCTGGGTTTTAACTGAAGGCAACCAAATACTTTATATCGTTATTGCTGAGTCTATGCTATATTGCAGGAATTCAGAACAGTAATTTTAAAATAACCTTTGTTCTCCTTCTTTCTTCTCCCAAACTTCCCGTTTTCTTTTTTCTTTTTTAAAGATTTATTTATTTATTTGAGAGGCATAGTTACAGACAGAGGGAGAGTCAGAGAGAGGTCTTCTATCTGCGGGTTCGCTCCCCAGTGACTGCTATGGCCGGAGCTGGGCTGATCTGAAGCCAGGAGCCAAGAGCTTCTGGGTCTCCCACGTGGGTGCAGGGGCCCAAACATTTGGGCCATCCTCTACTGCTTTCCCAGGCAATCAGTAGGAAGCTGTTTCAGAAGTGGAGCAGCCGAGAATTGAACTGGTGCCCATATGGGGTGCCAGCACCGTAGACGGATGCTTAACCTACTATGCCACAGCACCAGCCCTTGAATCTCCCCTTTTCTTAGGCTCAGTTCTGGCCAGCAAAGTGGAAGGAGGAATGAGGATTTTATGAGCTTTGGGTATAGGGATAGATAGAGGCATTCACTGTGTGTGTGGGACACTGAGGCGGGTCAGGACATGGGGCTATGATATGTGGGCAGAGGATGAAAGTCAAACATGTGAATTAGAAATTCACATGATTGAATTGTTTTATTTACCTATAACTCAATGCAACTCCTACTGTCATCTTCTTACTTTCCCCATCCTGAAGCAACCAGGCTATTTGTATGCTGGAAAGACGAGAAAAGCCTTCCCCAAGCATGTTTGGTGAGCTACTGCAGAATGCCAGCACTATGGGAGATCTGCGCAACTGTCCTGTGAGTCAAGTCAGGGCTGGAATTCAGGATGGGAAGGCAAACCCTGAGGTCAGTGGAATTGAGGCAGAGCTGATGGGAAATGTGTTGAACAAGCCTTTTATGTAAATATGTTTCAGAGCAACTGTGGAGAGAGGATCCGGATTCGCCGTGTACTGATGAATGCTCCGCAGATTATTACAATTGGGCTGGTATGGGACTCGGACCACTCAGACTTGGCAGAGGACGTCATCCACAGCCTGGGCACCTGCCTTAAGCTGGGAGATGTAAGTGATAGTTACCCTTTTCTGTGACTTAGAGTTCTGTGTCTTAGCATTATTCAAGGGTAGAGAACCCTGAATAAAAAAGTATGTCCTAGATGACACATACAGTGTTTCAGACGGATACACGTGCATCTGTGTACACAGATATGTGTGCACGTGTGTACATGCTCACATATTTCCTTGTATAGATGGCAAAGGTGTTTTAATAGAAATGGGATAACCTTAGCCTTGAGAGACAGGATGAGGAAAGGTTTGCTTCTGATGAAAATCAATCAATTTATAGAGTTGTTGCATGCTCTACTCAGTATTAGTTTATAGCAGTGTAGAGTTCAGATGTGTATTCAACTATGGAATGTGGTTAGGTGTGAACAGGAGTGAACAGTCCTGACTAGAGCTGCTGTGGAAACTGAAGGAGGTAAAGTTGGTGACTTGAACTCAAGAGTGAAATTCACAGTGAGGAACCAGAAGGTAACAAAACAGCTTGGTGAGAATTTAGTTTCTTGTGAACCTATTCAGGGATATAAACAGGGAAAAATACTTCAGACCTGGGTCTCTACCATGTCAGCCCTATGTTCCAGTGTAGATGAAGCCAGAGTTTTCTTTTAGTTCAAGAAGAACTAGAAACTTTTGGTTTTATTTCTACCAGTTTCTCTCTGAGATAGTCCTATGATTAAGAAGAGCCTTCCTTGTTTTTTCATGTCATTAAGCTATGATTGAGAATGAAAGAACTATCTGGGATCTTACTTTAGGTCTATTTCCCAAGGAATCTCTTTTTTTAATTTTTAAAATTTACTTGAAATGCAGAGTTTGAGAGGCAGAGAAAGCAAGGGAGAGGGAGAGGGAGAGGGAGAGAGAGAGAGAGAGAGAGAATCTTCCATCTGCTGATTCACTTCCCAAATGGCCGCAATGGCTGGAGCTGGGCTGATTCGAAACCAGGAACTAGGAGACTGGAACTTCTTCCAGGTCTCTGACCTGGGTGCAGGGGCCCAAGGACTTAGGCCATCTTTTACTGCTTTCTCAGGACATAGCAGGCTGGATTGGAAATTAAGCAGCTGGGACACTTGAACCGATGCCCATATGGGATGCTTGCACTGCAGGCAGCAGCTTTACCTGCTACGCCACAGTGCTGGTTCCCTCCCAAGGAATCTGATCTGAGTAGACTATGCACAATTAAAACTCCTTTTCAAAAATTCCTTTTATCTATATGATGTGTCCTTTAATAATTATTATTGTTGTTTTCTCAACCAGAGAAGTTCTTCAAGATCAGAATCCTTTTCCACAAAATTTTTGGTGTGTCTTTTAGCACTTAGGACAGTGCTGCACACTTAGGAATTGAAATGTTGATAACCAGTGTGACTGTACTGGTATTGCTTCTGCTAAGGGCTTTCTTCCTTCCACTTAGGTTTTCATAGGATAGTTCCATTTATGGTAAAGAAACCTTTGAAACTTAGGAGTTTTTTTTCCCTCCTCAGCTTTTCTGATCCTCTCATGTTAGGCTCCAGTAAAAAAAATATTATTGAAGGGATGAAGAAACAGAAGAAACATCACCACCGTACCAGTTTACTGGCCACTATCTGTCTTGTTTTTCTTTTTTTTTTTTTTAAACCTTTTTAGAGTTTTTTCTGATAATTGATTTGCACTATCAAAAAAAGCTTAGACTGGAAGGAGGAGAGGCAAGTCAGTATCTTTTTTTTTTTTTAAAGACTTATTTATTTGAAAGTCAGAGTTACAGATAAAGAGGCAGAGAGAGGGAGAGAGGAAGAGAGAGAGTCTTCCATTCCCACTGGTTCACTCCCTAAATGGCCACAAAGCTCATGCCTGGACTAGGCCAAAGTCAGGAGACAGGCGCTTCATCTGGTTTCTCCCACACTGGGGCAGGGGCCCAACAACTACTTTGGCCATCTTTCGATGCTTTCCCAAGATGTATGAGCAGGGAGTTGTATGGGAAGTCAGCAGCCCACAGAGGATGCCAGCGCTGCAGATGACAGCTTAACCTGCTGTGCCACCGTGCCGGCCCCACAATTCAGTATTTTAATTAAGAAATGTAGATTGAGTCTACTGAGAGGTGATGTGAGATGGTTGAGTATATGATAATTCCCTGCTTTTTCTTCTTTCCCCAAAGCTGTTTTTCAGAGTGACTGATGACCGGGCCAAGCAGTCTGAACTGTACTTAGTAGGAATGATCTGTTACTATGGCAAACATTATTCTACGTTCTTTTTTCAAACAAAGATCCGCAAATGGATGTATTTTGATGATGCTCATGTCAAGGAGGTAAGAATAGTCACGTCTTCCTTGAGGTTTTTGGTGACTGCAGCAAAAAAACAAAGATAATTATTTATCTTCAGTGTTTCATTTTCATAATTTTGGGTGGTAATCCTCCAGCCTCTGTAAGACATAAGAGGCATACACACACACACAGGGGAAGACAAACAAACCAGCTTCCATCCACTGATACATTCTCCAAATGTTGGTAACAAGTGGGACTGGGAAGCTGGAACTCAATCTGGATCTGATGTGGGTGGCAGGAGCCCAACTACTTGAACTATTACATATTGTCGCCCAGGGTTCGTACTGGCAGGAAACTAGTCCTGAGAGCCTGTGCTGGGACTCAAAACCCAGTCTCTTCAGTATGGGATACAAGCGTCTTAACTGCTAGGCCAAATGTCTGACTCAAAGTTCGTTTTTTCAGTGTGTTAATTGTTTGTTTTGAATTGCAACAGTGTAATGCCTCAAAATGGGTTATAAGGTTGACACAGTTGTAAATCTTAGAATTATTAGTGGATGATATTTCATCTCAGGCATCTGTGAATTATTTTTCAATTGTTAGAAGTGCCCTATCACAGATTTACATTCTGAGGAGATAGTATAGGGAAAACACATAATGGTACTTAATGCAAGAAACTTGGTACTATCTAAAGCTCAGAATCTGGCTGAAGTGGTTTAGGTCATCTGCAAGAGTAGGAAGCCCGCTGTTATGATGTTAGCAGCTAGGCCAGGGACTGCTGACCATAATCTACACTAAGTCATGTTCTTTTTATTTTTTTTTTTTTTCAGAGATTTATTTATTTATTTATTTATTTGAAAGGCAGAGTTAGAGAGAGACAGAGAGAGGGAAAGATCTTCCATCTACTGGTTCACTCCCCGAATGGTCACAATGGTTGGAGCTGCACCTATCCAAAGCCAGGAACCAGGAGATTCTTCCAGGTCTCCCATGCGGGTGCAGGGGCCCAAGGACTTGGGCCATCTTCTTCTGCTTTCTCAGGGCATAGCAGAGAGCTGGATCAGAAGTGGAGCAGCCAGGACTCGAACCGGCACCCATATGGGATGCCAGCATTGCAACCGACGGCTTTACCCAATACACCACAGCACCGGCCCCAATTCATGTTCTTTAAGCAATGTTTTCCTCAAATAATAGTCTTTGTCAAATTCCTACATTCTTTTTTGCCTCTTTTTTGCTGTTGACTTGTTTATTTATTTATTTGCATTTATTTAAAATATAGAGTTACAGAGAAAGAGAGGCAGAGGCAGAGAGATCTTCAATTCACTGGTTCACTCCCCAAATGGCTACATTGGCCAGGGCTAGTCCGGGCCAAAGCCAGTAGCCAGAAGCTTTATCTGGGATTCCCACATGCATGCAGGGTTCCAAGCACTTGGGCTGTCCTTAGCTGCTTTCCCAGGCATTTTACCAGGGAGCTGAATCAGAAGTGGAGCAAGTGGGACTTGAACTAGTGCCCTTATGGGATGCCGGCATTGCAAGTGGCGGCTTAACCCACTACACTGCAACATTGTTCCTCCTTTTTTGCTGTTTTTGAATTTGGGGTGACTTATATGAATTCTCTGAGCTTTAGGTATTTTTAATAAAAAATACCCTTACAAATTATTTTTTTTAACTTTTATTTAGTAAATATAAATTTCCAAAGTACAGTTTATGGATTACAATGGCTTCCCCCCAATAACTTCCCTCCCATCTCCCGCTCCCTCTCCCATTCCATTCACATCAAGATTCATCTTCAATCATCTTTATATACAGAAGATCAATTTAGTATATATTAAGTAAAGATTTCATCACTTTGCACCCACACAGAAACACAAAGTGTAAAATACTGTTTCAGTACTAGTTATAGCATTACTTCACATTGGACAACACATTAAGGACAGATCCCACATGAGGAGTAAGTACACAGTGACTCCTGTTGTTGACTTAACAATTTGACACTCTTGTTTATGGTGTTAGTAATCTCCCTAAGCTCTAGTCATGAGTTGCCAAGGCTATGGAAGCCTTTTGAGTTTGCTGATTTCAATCTTATTCAGACAGGGTCATAGTCAAAGTAGAAGTTCTCTCCTCCCTTCAGAGAAAGGTACCTCCTTCTTTTTTTTCTTTTTTTTCTTTTTTTTTTTTTTTGACAGGCAGAGTGGACAGTGAGAGAGAGAGACAGAGAGAAAGGTCTTCCTTTGCTGTTGGTTCACCCTCCAATGGCCGCCATGGCCGGCGTGCTGCAGCCAGTGCACCGCGCTGATCCGATGGCAGGAGCCAGGTACTTATTCTGGTCTCCCATGGGTGCAGGGCCCAAGCACTTGGGCCATCCTCCACTGCCTTCCCGGGCCACAGCAGAGAGCTGGCCTGGAAGAGGGGCAACTGGGACAGAATCTGGTGCCCCGACCGGGACTAGAACCCGGTGTGCCAGCGCCGCAAGGCGGAGGATTAGCCTAGTGAGCCATGGCGCCGGCCGAAAGGTACCTGCTTCTGTGATGGCCCTGTTCTTTCCACTGGGATCTCACTCACAGAAATCTTTCATTTAGGTCTTCTTCTTCTTCTTCTTCTTCTTTCTTCTTTCTTCTTTCTTCTTTCTTCTTCTTCTTTCTTTTTTTTTTTTTTTTTTGCCAGAGTGTCTTGGCTTTCTATGCCGAAAATACTGTCATGGGCTCTTCAGCCAGATCCAAATGCCTTAAGGGCTGATTCTGAGGCCAGAGTGCTATTTAGGACATCTGCCATTCTATGAATCTGCTGTGTATCCCGCTTCCCATGTTGGATCGTTCTCTCCCTTTTTTATTCTATCAGTTAGTATTAGCAGACACTAGTCTTGTTTGTGTGATCCCTTTGACTCTTAGACCTATCAGTGTGATCAATTGTGAACTGAAGTTGATCACTTGAACTAGTGAGATGGCATTGGTACATGCCACCTTGATGGGATTGTATTGGAATCCCCGGCACATTTCTAACTCCACCATTTGGGGCAAGTCCAATTGAGCATGTCCCAAATTGTACATCTCCTCCCTCTCTTATTCCCACTCTTATATTTAACAGGGATCACTTTTCAGTTAAATTTAAACACCTAAGAATAATTGTGTGTTAATTACAGAGTTCAACCAATAGTACTAGAACAAAAAAAAATACTAAAAGGGATAAAGTATTACATTGTACATCAACAGCCAGGACAAGGGCTGATCAAGTCACTGTTTCTCATAGTGTCCATTTCACTTCAACAGGTTTCCCCTTTGGTGCTCAGTTAGTTGTCGCCGATCAGGGAGAACATATGATATTTGTCCCTTTGGGACTGGCTTAATTCACTCAGCATGATGTTTTCCAGATTCCTCCATTTTGTTGCAAATGACCAGATTTCATTGTTTTTGACTGCTGTATAGTATTCTATAGAGTACATGTCCCATTATTTCTTTATCCAGCCTACTGTTGATGGGGATTTAGGTTGGTTCCAGGTCTTAGCTATTGTAATTTGAGCTGCAGTAAACATTGATGTGCAGACAGCTTTTTTGTTTGCCAATTTAATTTCCTTTGGGTAAATTCCAAGGAGTGGTATGGCTGGGTTGTATGGTAGGGTTATATTCAGGTTTCTGGGGAATCTCCAGACTGACTTCCATAGTGGCTTAACCAGTTTGCATTCCCACCAACAGTGGGTTAGTGTCCCTTTTCCCCTCATCCTCTCCAGCATCTGTTGTTGGTAGATTTCTGAATGTGAGCCATTCTAACCGGGGTGAGGTGAAACCTCATTGTGGTTTTGATTTGCATATCCCTGATTGCTAGTGATCTTGAACATTTTTTCATGTGTCTGTTGGCCATTTGGATTTCCTCTTTTGAAAAATGTCTATTGAGGTCCTTGGCCCATCTTTTGAGTGGGTTGTCTGTTTTGATGTTGTGGAGTTTCTTGATTTCTTTTTAAATTCTGGTTATCAACCCTTTATCTGTTGCATAGTTTGCAAATATTTTTTCCCATTCTGTCCATTGCCTCTTCACTTTCCTGACTGTTTCTTTTGAAATACAGAAACTTCTCAATTTATTTATTTATTTATTTTTATTTATTTATTTATTTTATTTTTGACAGGCGGAGTGGACAGTGAGAGAGAGAGAGACAGAGAGAAAGGTCTTCCTTTTGCCATTGGTTCACCCTCCAATGGCTGCCGTGGCTGGTGCGCTATGGCAGGCACATCGCGCTGATCCGAAGCCAGGAGCCAGGTGCTTCTCCTGGTCTCCCATGGGTGCAGGGCCAGGTGCTTCTCCTGGTCTCCCATGGGTGCAGGGCCCAAGGACTTGGGCCATCCTCCACTGTACTCCCTGGCCACAGCAGAGAGCTGGCCTGGAAGAGGGGCAACTGGGACAGAGTCCGGTGCCCCGACCGGGACTAGAACCCGGTGTGCTGGTGCCGCAAGGCGGAGGATTAGCCTAGTGAGCCGCGGCGCCTGCCCAGAAACTTCTCAATTTGATGCAATCCCAAAGTTAATTTTGGCTTTGACTGCCTGGCTTCCAGGTCTTTTCCAAGAAGTCTTTGCCAGTACCTATATCTTACAGGGTTTCTCCAATGTTCTCTAATAATTTGATGGTGTCGGGTCGTAGATTTAAGTCTTTAATCCATGTTGAGTGGATTTTTTTAAGGTGAAAGGTAGGGCTCTTGCTTCATGCTTCTGCACGTGGAAATCCAATTTTCCCAGCACCATTTATTGAATAGACTGTCTTTACTCCAGGGATTGGTTTTGGATCCTTGATCAAATATAAGTTGGCTGTAGATGTTTGGATTGATTTCTGGTGTTTCTATTTTGTTCCATTGGTTTATCCATCTGTTTCTGTACCAGAACCATGTTGTTTTGATAGCAACTGCCCTGCAGTATGTCCTGAAATCTGGTATTGTGATGCCTCCATCTTTGTTTTTGTTGTACAAGATTGCTTTAGCTATTCGAGGTCTCCTGTGTCTCCATATGAATTTCAGCATCATTTTTTTCAGATCTGAGAAGAATGTCTTCAGTATTTTGATTGGTATTGCATTGAATCTATAAATTGCTTTTGGGAGAATGGACATTTTGATGATATTGATTCTTCCAATCCATGAGCATGGAAGATTTTTTTATTTTTTGGTATCCTCTTCTATTTCTTTCTTTAAGGTTTTGTAATTTTCATCATAGAGATCTTTAACGTCCTTGGTTAAGTTTATTCCAAGGTATTTGATTGTTTTTGTAGTTATTATGAATGGGATTGATCTTAGAAGTTCTTTCTCAGCCTTGGCATTGCCTGTGTATACAATGGCTGTTGATTTTTGTGCATTGACTTTATATCCTGCTACTTTGCCAAACTCTTCTATGAGTTCCAATAGTCTCTTAGTAGAGTTCTTTGGATCCCCTAAATAAATAATCATATCATCTGAAAAGAAGGATAGTTTGAGTTCTTCCTTCCCAATTTGTATCCCTTTAATTTCTTTTTCTTGCCTAATAGCTCTGGCTAAAACTTCCAGAACTATATTGAATAGCAGTGGTGAGAGTGGTCATCCCTGTCTGGTACCAGATCTCAGTGGAAATGCTTCCAACTTTTCCCCATTCAATAGGATGTTGGCCATGGGTTTTTCATAAATTGCTTTGATTGTATTGAGGAATGTTCCTTCCATACCCAGTTTGCTTAGAGTTTTCATTATGAAAGGGTGTTGTGTTGTATTTTATCACATGCTTTCTCTGCGTCTATTGAGATAATCATATGGTTTTTCTTCTGCAGTCTGTTAATGTGGTGTATCACATTGATTGTTTTGTGAATATTGAACCATCGCTGCATACCAGGGATAAATCCCCACTTGGTCTGGGTGGATGATCTTTGTGATGTGTTGTTGGTTTCTATTGGCCAGAATTTTATTGAGGGATATTGGTTTGTAGTTTTTTTTTTTTTTTTTTTTTTTTGACAGGCAGAGTGGACAGTGAGAGAGAGAGACAGAGAGAAAGGTCTTCCTTTTGCTGTTGGTTCACCCTCCAATGGCCGCCGCGGCCGGCGCACCGTGCTGATCCGATGGCAGGAGCCAGGAGCCAGGTGCTTTTCCTGGTCTCCCATGGGGTGCAGGGCCCAAGCACCTGGGCCATCCTCCATTGCACTCCCTGGCCACAGCAGAGAGCTGGCCTGGAAGAGGGGCAACCGGGACAGAATCCGGCGCCCCAACCGGGACTAGAACCCGGTGTGCTGGTGCCGCTAGGCGGAGGATTAGCCTAGTGAGCCGCGGCGCCGGCCTGTAGTTCTCTTTCAATGCTGCATCTTTTTTCCGGCTTAGGAATTAAGGTAATGCTGGCTTCATAGAAAGAATTTGGGAGGATTCCATTTTTTTCGATTGTTCTGAATAGTTTGAGAAGAATTGGAGTTAGTTCTTCTTTAAATGTCTGGTAGAATTCAGCAGTGAATCCATCTGGTCCTGGGGTTTTCTTTGTTGGGAGGGCCTTTATTACTGTTTCAATTTCTGTCTCAGTTATGGGTCTGTTTAGGTTTTCTGTGTCTTCCTGATTCAATCTAGGTAGGTTGCATGTGTCCAGGAATCTATCCATTTCTGATAGATTTCCCTGTTTGCTGGCATACAAGTCCTTGTAGTAATTTCTGATGATTCTTTTTATTTCTGTGGTGTCTGTTGTTACGTTTCCTTTTTCATCTCTGATTTTATTGATTTGGGTGTTTTCTCTTTTTTTTTAGTTAGTTGAGCCAATGGGGTGTCAATTTTGTTTATTTTTTGAAAAAAACAGCTCCTCATTTGGCTGATTTTTTGTAATGTTTTTTTGGATTCAATCCTGTTGATTTCTTCTCTGATTTTAATTATTTCTCTTCTCCTACTAGATTTGGGTCTGGTTTGCTACAGATTTTCTAGATCCTTGAGATGAATTGAAAGCTCATTTATTTGGTGCCTTTCCAATTTCTTGATGTAGGCACCTATTGATATAAACTTTCCTCTTAACACTGCTTTTGCTGTATCCCATAAGTTTTGGTATGTTGTGCTGTTATCCTCATTTACTTCCAGAAAGTTTTTGATTTCTCTTTTGATTTCTTCTATGACCTATTGTTCATTCAGGAGCATGTTGTTCAATCTCCATGTGTTTGCATATGCTCTAGGGATTACTGAGTTGATAATTTCCAACTTCATTCCTCTATGGTTTGAGAAGCTGCATTGTATGATTCTAATTCTTTTGAATTTGCTGAGACTTGCTTTATGGCGTAGCGTGTGGTCAATCCTAGAGTAGTTTCCATGTACTGCTGAGAAGAATGTAAATGCTTTATGTGTAGGATGAAAAGTTCTGTAGATATCTGTTAGATCCATTTGGGCTATAGTGTCGTTTAAATCTACTGTCTCCTTGTTGATCTTCTGTCCTGTTGATCTGTCTATTTCTGAGAGTGGAGTATTAAAGTCCCCCAGTACTATTGTATTGGGGTCTAAGTCTCCCTTTAAGTCCCTTAACAAACCTTTTAAATAAACTGGTGCCCTGTAATTAGGTGCATATACATTGATAATCGTTATATCTTCCTGTTGAATTGATCCCTTAATCATTATATAGTGTCCCTCTTTGTCTCTCTTAACAGTTTTTGTGTTAAAGTTTATTTTGTCTGATATAAGATGGCTACGCCCGCTCTTTTTTCATTTCTGTTGGCATTGTATATCTTTTTCCAGCCTTTCACTTTCAGTCTGTATGCATCTTTGTTGGAAAGATGTGTTTTTTGTAAGCAGCAAATAGGTTTTGTTCCTTAACCCAATCAGCCAATCGGTGTCTTCTAACTGGACAGTTCAGGCCATTAATGTTCAGTGTGAGTATTGATAAGTAGTAACTTTGCCCTGCCATTTCCCAAAGATATTTTCGAATATATGCTTTGAACTTCCTGTGATCTTTTGCTGTGAGGTTTCCTTCCTTTACCTTCTTTCATATTGATGACCGTGTTTCTGTGTTTCTGTGTGTAACACATCTTTAAGCATCTTTTGCAGGGCTAGAGGAGTGGCAACAAATTCTTTCAATTTCTGTTTGTTATGAAAGGTCTTTATTTCACCTTCATTCACAAATCCTTACAAATTATTAAATAATATTTTATGTGAAAAGCATATAAAAATGCATCTATTATGAATATGAATGAAGTACTATCCAGTTGTCCAATGTGAAGAGCATGCCATCTGAGAATGCCACTAGCTCGAGCTTAAGTTGGGACGAGTTTGGGGATTTGGTTGGATTATGGTTTCCATGGCTGTTCTGTCACTAGGCTTTCCACTGTGCTAGTGGAGCTGAATCCCTTGGTAAGTCCAGAAGGTTCAGCCGTCTATTCTAGGCAGGTTGACATTTCATGTCCTGCCATGAGTGAACTCTGAAACTGAATGTCATTTATTCTAATGCAGTATGTGAGAGAGTCTCTGTCCCCTCTTCAGCTTCATAAAAGTAATTTTAATATTTGGAGGAAAATTATGGATATGCAAATTTCAAGTGAGTGCTTTAATCTGATGTCTATAAAAAGAAATTGATCCCCAAGGTGGGTGAAGTATATAGAATATCTACCTTTGAAAACTTGTATTTCATAACTAAGTTGATGTTTCACAGAAATAAAATTAATTCTATTTATTCTTCCTTATAGAATTTTAGTGCTTTCTAAAAGGATTTAGCAAAAAATTTATAAAATATTAATTATATTTAAATGTAAGATTTGTTGTCTTTTTACACAATTCTTCTGTTTTCATCTCTTTTATTTTCTTTAGAAAAAAACACAAAGATGTGTTTTAAATTATGGGTATGAAATATAACTGTCATATTTTTTGTTTGTTTCTGGTTCAGATTGGGCCCAAATGGAAAGATGTGGTGACCAAATGCATCAAAGGTCATTATCAGCCTTTGCTGCTGCTTTATGCAGATCCCCAGGGAACCCCAGTATCCACTCAGGACCTGCCTTCCCACGCTGAGTTCCAGTCGTACAGCAGGACATGCTATGATAGTGAAGATTCGGGTGAGCAGCCTAGCTCTTTACTTCTCCCATCTGCCCTTCCCCTGTGATCAGGTAGTTGGGAATCATACCTCACTGTGTGCCTAGCTGGGAGAAAGAAAGATGAGAAAGAAGTGTCAACTTGTGCTGAAGCCTTGTGCCAGGTTTTTGTTTCCCTCAGCCTTGTAGTTATTGCTTCAATCACTTGACCCAAACTCAAAAATGAAAAGGAAATTTTGTTTACTGAAGCTGAGATACGGAGACCTCAGCATTTAGCCCTTTTTTTTTTTTTAAATATTTTATTTATTTATTTGAAAGTCGGAGTTACAGAGAGGGAGAGGCAGAGGGAGGGAGAGAGAGAGAGAGGGAAAGAGAGGGATCTTCCTTCCACTGGTTCACTCCCCAAATGGCCAGGAGCTTTATTTGGATCTCCCACATGGGTACAGGGGCCCAAGCACTTGGGCCATCTCTACTGCCTTCCCAGGCACATTAGCAGGGAGCTGGATCAGAAGTGGAGCAGCTGGGACTCGAACCTGCGCCCATACGGTATGCCAGCAATGCACCAGCCCCAGCATTTAGCCTTCTAACACTGGTAAAGATTCTTAATAGCAATTCAACAGTGACTTAAAGTGAGTTAAGACAAGAAAAATTAAGTCACTACAAAGCTAGTCATTTTGGGGAAATGAAATATTTTTTTAAATGGTAAGAGTAGTGATATTCCTTAGTTTGTGAATTAGTTGTTCACTTCCAAGTCAATTGTTTGGAACTTAAATAATGCCTTCCTCTAGAAACAGCTTACAGCTTGATGGCTGAAGTCTCAGGGGAGCCTACAGAGGCTCATAATATATCTGAAGTATAATTCTAATTGTTTTGGCTTGATTTCTGAAAAGGAGTCACAGTGAAATGTTCTTTTGCTCTTCTAGGTCTAGGACTATGATTTTGAAAAAGAAGGAAATTGACTTTAAAATCATTCTCCCTCCCCTTTGTACCCCCCTTCTGCTTTTTACCTGGTGCTTTCTTCCTACTCTTGGACCCCACCTTAACCTGCTCTACTCCTGCTCCGTTCAGTCAAACGCCCGTTTGTCCTGTCATGCTTATCTCAGATGGGTGTTGAGAGCAAAGCATTCTGCTTAAAGAAATCCACACTAGAGTATATGTTACAGCCCCATAAATCATCAGGTATTAAAAATGCACATAATGTCAGTTATATTTTTTGAAGTAACATTGATCACAGTATAGGAGAAAATTTTGGGATAGCAGAACAACTGGTTATGTATGACCAGTTGGCCTAGGACTTTTCATCTAAGTAGATCTATTTTTCACAACTTTTTCATTTCTTCCACTTTTCCCCCGTAGGTTTACTAAAAACCACACAGTTTTTCACAGTGGCAGGCAAAGTGAGGGCTTCAGCAAGGTAGGGGCAGAGACGGGAGGAATTGTATGTTTGTCTGGGTGATCTGGAAGTTGGGAGTTGGGAAGAATGGCTTTGTGGTATCTCCTTCTCACCCTTCCATCTAGGAAGTTGTTGCCTTATGGACCTTTGTTGCATCCATCGCTTTGCTTTCTCTCTGTCATAGTTCTCTCCTTCCTCACTTTTGCATATATGTCTCCTCCTTCCCTCAGGGAGGGAGCCCTCCATCTCAAGTGACACTCGAACAGATTCCTCAACGGAGAGCTATCCCTACAAACACTCCCACCATGAGTCTGTGGTCAGTCACTTCTCTTCTGATTCTCAGGGGACAGTCATCTGTAATGTGGAGAATGACTCCATGTCCCAGAGCAGTCGGGACACAGGTAGGGACTTACACAGTGGACTCTGCTTGCCTGATTCAATGCCTGCTCCCAAGGAAAAGAAACTGGGGCAAATCAGAAATGTTTGCCATTCAATATTGAAAGGCACAGAAGTTGGGTAATGCAGTGGGATACAAAGAAGGAACCCATTTCTGAAAGAACAGTAATGTTCCCTTGCACATACTCCTGTCAACAGCAGCATATCAGTAAGGACTATGGTAGTGTGATTATTATTGTAATTATGCTGAAGCCTGCTTTTCTCTTGCTATCCTTTTGATCCCTGTCCTTACCATTGTACTCTATTACACCCTTGTAGTCTTGCACCTTGTCATATTATTGTGCCATGCTTCATGCTGAGTGAAGGGTGTTGAGAGCAGGTGTATTTATGGGTGGGGGACACCTACTTAACAGCTTTCTAGATTTCCTGAAGGACAGAGGAGCAAAAGATGAAAGATAGCCTGTTTGTTATTGTGTGTTCCTGGCAGAGAACACATTCTTAAATTGTTTTGTTAATCTTTAGGAGACAGTGCTTATGTTGGAAGAAATCAATACCAGCCATGAAAGGAAGAATAGTGAGTTACTGCTGAGATGGAAAGTTCATTATGGGAGATAAAACAGCCAAGGCATAAAACAATGCACATTCCCTTGGGGATTTTGAGACGTAGCAAGCTCATAACTTCAGATTGTGGGTTGTAGTGTGTGTGCACGGCCATTTTTTAAAATTGGGAATTTCAAACATGTTTAAAAGTATATAGAATATTTTACTGCCCCTCCATGGACCTGCTACCTAGTTTTAATAATTATAACTTTATGTCAATCTAGTTTTATCTGCACTTATGCCCACTTCCCCCAACTCCTGAATTAATATGAAGCAAATCCCAGATATCATATCACTTTTCCCGTAAGTATCCTAGTATATACTGCTAAAAAATAAGTCATTTTAAGTATACTGTTATCACACTTAAAAACTCCTTAAAACCAATTAGCGTTTATCCAATTATAAATGTTATAACTTTCTAATGGTTTGTATGTTTGACTCAGAATACAGATGAGGTCTATATGTTGCTATAGGTTGATACTTTTAAAAAAATTTTAAAGGTTTATTTTTATTTATATGAAAGGCAGAGTGAAACAAAGAGAGAGGAAAGACAGAGGTAGAAAACTTCCATTCAGTGGTTCACTCCCCAGAATGGCTGCAACAACCTGGGCTGGGCCAGGCTGAAGCCAGGAGCCAGGAACTCCATCCTGGTCTCCTAATGGTTGACAGGGGCTCAAACACTTGGATCATCTTGCCAGGCACATTAGCAGGGAGCTGGATTGGAAGTGGAGCAGCCGAGACTTGAACCAGCACTCCCACATAGTATGCCAAAGTCATAAACAGCAGCTTAACTCACTGCACCACTACGCCAGCCTCAATAAGACTTTTATTTTTTATTATTTTTAAATGTATAGGTTTTTCTTCTATTTTTCCATGTAATTTATTGTTGAAGAACCAAGTAGTTGTCCTTTAGATATGCCACATTCTATAGTTTGCTGATTGTATCCCCATGGTATTCTTTAACATGTTTCTTTACCCTCAATTATAAATTAGTAGTTGGACCCAGAGGTTTGGTTAGATTACAATGATTTTTCTTTTCATGACTACTGAATAAATGGTGTTAAGTATGAGGGTTTTTTTTGTTGTTGTTGTTTTAAGATTTGTTTATTTATTTGAAAGGCAGAGAGTGAGAGAGCAAGAGAGCGAGAGTCTTCCACCCTCTGGTTCACTTCCTAATTGGCTGCAACTGCTGGAGCTGATTTGAGCCAGGAGCCTAGAGCTGCTCCTGGGTCTCCCACGTGGGTGCAGGGGCCCATGGACTTGGGCCATCTTCCACTGTTTTCCCAGGCATATTAGAAGGAAATTGGATTGGAAATGGAGTGGCCGGGACTCAAACTCGTTTGCATATGGGATGCTGGCACTGCAGGCGGCAGCTTAGCCTACTATGCCACAGCACTGTCCTCCTAAGTGCATTTTTTTTTTTTTTTTTTTGGACAGGCAGAGTGGACAGTGAGAGAGAGAGAGAGACAGAGAGAAAGGTCTTCCTTTGCCGTTGGTTCACCCTCCAATGGCCGCCGCGGCCAGCGCGCTGCTGGCCGGCGCACCGCGCTGATCCGATGGCAGGAGCCAGGAGCCAGGTGCTTCTCCTGGTCTCCCATGGGGTGCAGGGCCCAAGCACCTGGGCCATCCTCCACTGCACTCCCTGGCCACAGCAGAGAGCTGGCCTGGAAGAGGGGCAACCGGGACAGAATCCGGCGCCCCGACCGGGACTAGAACCCGGTGTGCCGGCGCTGGTAGGCGGAGGATTAGCCTAGTGAGCCGCGGCGCCGGCTCTCCTAAGTGCATTTTTAAGACCATATTTCTGAAACCATGAACCAGAGACATAGGATAAACGACCCATAATTTCCAGGAGAGTCAGGTTCCTGTTAAAGGTGTGTTTAGGGCGGGAGGGCATGGCCATTGGTTTAACATTTATAAGATTTTGTTGCTCCAGATAATTTCCTCCTTTATTAAATCTTTCTGGAACTCATAGATAGCAAAGGAGCAGATAAAAGCAATAAAATACTATGCAGGGCAATTGATTAAAAATTACATATCAGGCCAGTGCCGCGGCTCACTAGGCTAATCCTCTGCCTGCAGTGCTTGCACACTGGTTCTAGTCCCGGTCAAGGCACCGGATTCTGTCCCGGTTGCCCCTCTTCCAGTCCAGCTCTCTGCTGTGGCCCGGGAGTGCAGTGGAGGATGGCCCAAGTGCTTGGGCCCTGCACCCACATGGGAGACCAGGAGGAAGCACCTGGCTTCTGGCTTCGGATTGGCGCAGCGCTGGCTGTAGCGGCCATTTGGGGAGTGAACCAACGGAAGGAAGACCTTTCTCTCTGTCTCTCTCTCTCACTCTCTAACTCTGCCTGTCCAAAAAAAAAATTATATGTTTACATATCACTATATTACTGATACATGAATATGCAGAGGATTTTTTACTTATTAACAGATGAAAACAAATTTCTCTCAGCTCTCAGTGCATTTCAGAATTGAGTGGGTTTTCTCTAAGCCTATCTTGAAACTTAATTCATGTTTGGCTTCCAACAACTTAGCTGATTATATCCTTTAGAATCTGACCTTTACTGAATGATCTAAATCATACTTATATATTTGCATATTGTAGGCATGAAGTAGGGCAAGCTACAGAAAATAGCCCAGCTCTCTTGGGTTTCCCAGTGGCTAGTATTGAGGAGCCATGGAGTATCATTTCTGAGTGAAGCCTGGCTTGGGGATGGGAATGAGAGTGTCAGAGTTAAAATGTTATTTTAAATGATCTTTCTTTCAGGAAGATTTATTTTTATATTTATTTATTTATTTGTGACAGGCAGAGTTAGATAGTGAGAGATAGAGATAGAGATAGAGATAGAGATAGAGATAGAGATAGAGAGAGAGAGAAAGGTCTTCCTTGCATTGGTTCACCCCCCAGATGGCCGCTGTGGCTGGCGCGCTGCGCCGATCCGAAGCTAGGAGCCAGGTGCTTCCTCCTGGTCTCCCATGCAGGTGCAGGGCTCAAGCACTTGGGCCATCCTCCACTGCCTTCCTAGGCCATAGCAGAGAGCTGGACTGGAAGAAGGGCAACCAGGACAGAATCCGGCGCCCCGACTGGGACTAGAACCCAGGGTGCCTGTGCTGCAGGCAGAGGATTAGCCTAGTGAGCCTTGGCGCCGGCCTATTTGTTTATTTTTAAGATTTATTGTTTTTACTTGAAAGGCAGAATTACAAAGAGGCTGAGGGAGAGAGAGAGAGAGAGAGAGTGAGTGAGTGTCTCCCATCTGCTGGTTCACTCCCCAGTTGGCCACAATGGCCGGAGCTGTGCCAATCCAAAGCCGGGAGCCAGGAGCTTCTTCTGGGTCTCCCACGCAGGTGCAGGGGCCCAAGGAATTGGGCCATCTTCTACTGCTTTAGCAGCCAGGACTTGAACTGGCACCCATACGGGAGCTGTAGGCAGCAGCTTTACTCACTATGCCACAGCACCGGCCTCAGGAAGATTTAGAACTGAGTCCTAATGCTATATATAGTCAGAACTCTTGTGGGCCAACGCTGGGTTCCTGGAATGATTCCAAATGTAGAATAAATCAGGTTTTCCTGGGTGTGTATTACTAAATAAGTTAAAGGGAAATTCTGTAATGAGGGGAAATATATGAGTACATGATATTTTGACTAATCTTTAAGACTTTGGCCTTTTAAAAATTACCAAGGAACCCATCTGTTGTCTTTCTGTGTCAATGGCAAAGATTATGAACAAGATTGAGGCTGACAGTTGCTCAGGAGACATTGTAAACTTGGAAGTGCCCATTAAATACTTAAACTTCTCCATATTGATTTGCTGAGAAACTCCTACTCCCGCCCTACTTTTTTTTTTTTTTTTAATTGAAGATTTATTTATTTTGAAAGTCAGAGTTAGAGAAAGTGATCTTCCATCCACTGGTTCACTCTTCAGATGGCCAAACAGTTAACACTGGGCCAGGCCAAAGCCAGGAGCTAGGAGGTTCATCTGGGTCTCCCATGTGTGTGGCAGGGACCCAAACACTTGGGCCATCTTCCATTGCTTTTCCCAGACCACTAGTAGGGAGCTGGATTGGAAGTGGAGCAGCCAGGACATGAACCAGTGCCCATATGAAACGCTGGCATCATAGGTGGTGGCTTAACCCTCTATGCCATAATACCAGCCCCCCAAAATGCCTACTCTGAAATCAGATGGCCTTTGCCTCTACCACTTCTGACCCATGGGTACACTAAATCAGTGGCACTGCCATAAATCCTCGGGAGGATAGTCTTAGAAAGCAGCTTACCCTCATTTCCTTCTTTCAGGACACCTGACTGATAGTGAATGTAATCAGAAACACACATCCAAGAAAGGCTCCCTGATAGAGCGCAAGAGGAGCTCTGGCCGGGTGAGGAGGAAAGGCGATGAGCCGCAGGCCTCCGGCTACCACAGTGAAGGCAAGCCACTCTGCACTGCTCCTCTCTCCAGCTCTGCTGTCAAACTTTTCTCAGACCCCAGACTGCTGGCTTCTCCTCTATTCTCAAGGGCCTTTCCCTTGCTTTTTAGGCTTTGGGGTCTGGGTATCTGTGATTACTTTCAACATCTGTATTTGTTTCATTCTTTGTAGGAGAAACACTGAAAGAGAAGCAAGCGCCTAGGAATGCCTCCAAACCATCGAGCAGCACTAACAGGCTGAGAGATTTTAAAGAGACAGTCAGCAACATGATTCATAACAGACCTTCCCTGGCTTCTCAGACCAGCGTAGGCTCTGCCTGTGGGGGGAGAGCAGAGCAGCCAGACAAAAAAGCGCCTAGGAGCCTACCTTTACACTCTCGTGACTGGGAAATAGAGAGCACCAGCAGTGAGTCAAAATCCAGCTCTTCCAGCAAGTATCGTCCCACATGGAGACCCAAGCGAGAGTCTCTGAATATTGACAGTATTTTTAATAAGGACAAAAGGAAGCATTGTGGCTACACCCAGCTTAGCCCCTTTTCTGAGGATTCAGGTGAGGAGATAATTAGGGAAGAATAGGGCTTTCAAATAAAATTGATTTAAATTTTTTAAAAACCTGGGATCTTAAGGATCTGCATTCATTGGAAGAGCAACTGGAGGGAGGGGTTAGTTAGGTCTTGATTTGGGGCAAGTGCTCAATCTACCTCCTCTTCTGTTCTTGTGTTTTGATTGGGATAGCTAAAGAATTCACACCAGAGGAACTAAGCAAGCCACCTACTTATGACATTAAAGCTGAAGGACCAAGCCCCCAGTACAAGCCCTGGGGCCCAGTGCGACCAGGCTCTCACCTTTTAGAGCAGCACCCTCGCCTAATTCAGCGAATGGAATCTGGCTATGAGAGCAGTGAGAGAAACAGCAACAGCCCTGTCAGCTTGGATGCAGCTCTGCCTGAGAGCTCGAATGTCTACAGGTATTGTTTGGCCTTTGAATAGAGCTATTGTGCCTTGCAGCAGCAGGAGCTTCGTACTTGGGGCTTTCAGCCATGGCTTGGACAAAGTGGAGAGAGGGGATTTATTCCCAGTACTCACTGTGCTCCGTCACCTTTGTATTGCAAGAACGCCCTCTGCTGGTAGGAAAAGCAAAGGGACTTGTTAAATGAGCGAATGCTTTTGTTTAAAATATGTACAAACTAATTGTTCAGTGGTCGCTTCAGGAATGTGTATACTAAAATTGGAGCAATACAGACATTAGCATGGCCCTTGTGCAAAGTGACACATAAGTTTGTGAAATGTTCCATAATTTTCAGATAGATAGGATGAACAAGTCTAGATACCTAATCAGTGTGGGAACTATACACAGGTAATTAAATTATATTATATGTACAATTTATGCAGAGTCAATAGATTGTAACTGTTTTTTTTTTTTGCCACAAAAAAAATAATGGTTATCTGTGAAATGGTAGGTTAATTTGCTTCACTGCAGTTATGTTAGTACTATTGATATATATCCCAGAACATCACATTGTAGTTTAAATGCACACATTTTAGAAAATTTGTGTGAAATAATTGTTTAGTAAACATCTTTTAATGAATTAGTGATTCAAAGCTTTTATAATGCTAAAATCAGAGAAGAAACTCAACTTGTTTATTCTTTCCATATTGGAATTATTTTTTAAGGCTCTGAGGATTCTGTTTTACAGAGGTAATGATAGTCATATCTTATACAAAACTGATGCCAGTATAATAGAACTCACTGCACCCTGCCCATAGGGCTCATTTTGATCTTTATACTTTGGATCTCCATGCATTTACTGAGTTGGCATATGTGAAGTTTTCCCAACAGTATAACTGCTTTAGAAGGAAAGTTTATACCTCCCACAAGGGTGACAGTCACATCCTCATATTTTCAACTATTCTTTGCTGACCACAGGACCCTGTTCAGTTTGCTTATGAGAAGATACTACAAAGATTTAGTAAGAACGAGGAAGGCATTACATATAAGAGCAATGTTTTCACTAACTCATTCAGTAGATTTCGAATGTCTACTATGTGCCAGATGGGAACTGAAATGAAATAAGATGGAATGAGTGGATGTTTCAGTTTTCCAGAAGCAGTTTAGCAGAAGCTTTGATTACATTAGTGGGTTGTTTTCTTGGAGGAATTTAGCCCTAGGAATGTTGCTAGTAATCACCACTCTGAGTTCTCTTTTAAAGGGATCCGAGTGCTAAGAGATCAGTTGGCTTTGTCCCTTCTTGGCGTCATATCCCGAAGTCTCACAGCAGTAGCATCCTAGAGGTGGATTCCACAGCATCTGTTAGTGGCTGGAAAAAGAGTCAGCCTTTCTCAGGTAAGCAGGACTCTGGATTTGGGGGGTTGGATTTGACTACCAGTTCTGTTTGGGGAACAGCCTGTCCTGGGCGTATTTGAAATTAGAAGACAGTTGTATTTTGCGTGTATCATCAGAATGCAAATGTAGATGCTTTTGAGTTGCTTTATCTTTGGGTTTCTTTTTTGTTCTCTATCAGAGCTTGCCTGAATGTTTCTTTCCATCTTGCAGATAGCCCTTCTAGAAGTGGAAGGAACAGAAATAATTGTGAACAGTATTGATAACAACTCTATTCCTCATAATAAATAGGTTCCTTAATATAAAGGCAATCTCTTGGGGAATAAATTTTTAAGGATTTATTCATTTTATTTGAAAGACAGAATTATATAGAGAGAGGGTGAGACAGAGAGAAAGAGATCTTCCTTCCACTGGATCACTCCCCAAATGGCTGCAACAGCTGGAGCTATGTCAGACCAAAGCCAGGAGTTTTTTATGGGTCTCATGTGGGTGCTGGGGCCCAAGCACTTGGGCCAGACTCTGCTGCTTTCCCAGCTGCATTAGCAGTGAGTTGGATTGGAAGTGGAGCAGCCCATATGGGATGCTGGGGCTACAGGAAGTGGCTTAACCCCTTACACCATTGTGCCGGCCCTGGGAACCAGATTTCTTATTCTTAATACTATGAATTAAAATATCAAAATGGGGCACGTAATCTCTGGCAGAATTGGTAAATGAGCAATGCAAACTGGCCTTACCATTGCCTCTATGTCCTAGCCAGTCTAATTACTAGTTCTCTTGATAGTCACTTAAAGTTCTTGAAGGTGGCTAGGATGAAAATTTGAAGCAGCACTAATAAGAAGGTGTGAACCCCATTGCGTGTGAATGCTATAGGTTGCTGACACCTAGCAGAGCACAGCAGTGCTTGTGGAGGCTAACATGCCAGGAATCCTGGGTTACACTCAGTTATAGCTAGAGATTGATGAAAGAAATTCATCTTCCCAATGACATTATAAATTTGGTTTATTTCCCACATTTTAAAATTTCATGTTGAATAACATTACTTTGAGAAATTTCAGGTATATGCCTATTCTCCTTCTTTTCAAAAGACCAACACTTTTCAGTACTCTTGAATCTCGGGATTTCCCTGATAGTCCTCAATTCTGACCAGCTGATTTCTTTGACAAGTGCAAGATATTAAAGCACTCAATAGCCACTTTTATCTGATGATAAAATTATAGAAGTAAATCATGTCTAATAATTCAGTAACCTCCCTTTGAGCCCTGAAACTGAAGGAATTTAGTGTTATCATTATAGTATTTTATCTTTTTTTTTTTTTTTTTTGACAGGCAGAGTGGACAGTGAGAGAGAGAGACAGAGAGAAAGGTCTTCCTTTGCTGTTGGTTCACCCTCCAATGGCCGCCGTGGCCGGCGCGCTGCGGCCAGCGCACCACGCTGATCCGATGGCAGGAGCCAGGAGCCAGGTGCTTTTCCTGGTCTCCCATGGGGTGCAGGGCCCAAGCACCTGGGCCATCCTCCACTGCACTCCTGGGCCACAGCAGAGAGCTGGCCTGGAAGAGGGGCAACCGGGACAGAATCCGGCGCCCCAACTGGGACTAGAACCCGGTGTGCCGGCGCCGGTAGGCGGAGGATTAGCCTAGTGAGCTGCGGCGCCGGCCAGTATTTTATCTTTTTACATCTTCTTCTGGGCTTACACAAGAACATGGAAAACCTTATGTATATGTATATAGGCCACTACCAGTTTTAAAAATATAAAATGAAGTCATGTTATTCTTTTATTTATTTTTAAACAATATTTCTTTATTTGAAAGTCAGAGTTACACAGAAAGAGGAGGAGAGGCAGAGAGAGAAAGAGAGAGGTCTTCCATCCACTGGTTCACTACCCAGATGGCCACAATGGCCGGAGCTGTGTCGATCTGAAGCCAGGATCCAGGAGCTTCTTCCGGGTCTCCCACATGGGTGCAGGTGCCCAAGGACTTGGGCCATCTTCTACTGCTTTCCCAGGTCGTAGCAGAGAGCTGGATCTGAAGTGGAGCAGCTGGGACTTGAACTAGTGACCATATGAGATGCGGGCACTGGAGGCAGCAGCTTTACCTCCTACACCACAGCGCCGGCTCCTATTCTATCTATTTTAAACTTAATTTATCATAAGCTTCCTTCTAGATTTATCTAGATAAATCTAGATTACTTAGATCCTTCTATGAACACTTATAAAGTTGATTTTTTTTTTTTTTGACAGGCAGAGTGGACAGTGAGAGAGAGAGACAGAGAGAAAGGTCTTCCTTTGCCGTTGGTTCACCCTCCAATGGCCGGCGCAGCTGTGCGCTGCGGCTGGTGCACTGCGCTGATCCGAAGCCAGGAGTCAGGTGCTTCTCTGGTCTCCCATCTGGGTGCAGGGCCCAAGAACTTGGGCCATCCTCCACTGCACTCCCAGGCCACAGCAGAGAGCTGGCCTGGAAGAGGAGCAACCGGGACAGAATCTGGTGCCACAACTGGGACTAGAACTCGGTGTGCCGGCGCCGCAGGCAGAGGATTAGCCTATTGAGCCACGGCGCCAGCCATAAAGTTGAAATTTTACTATGTACATTTTACAGGCTCGTTAAAGAGATGGTGGAAATTTACAGTGAAAAAATCTTCCCATGAGTCAAAGGCAATACCTCTAGAGAGTGCTCCCTAATGGATAACAGTATGGATTATTAATTTAACTTGGTTTTAATGTAGCTGCACCATTCTCCATCTGTGCTGCTTTGGTCAATATTTATCCTTTGGTTCAGCAAGTTAAACTGCCTCTTGGGACACCTGCATCCCATGTTGGAGTGCAGGTTCCATTCCTGGCTACTTTGCTTCCTATCCAGCTTTTGCTAATGCATCCTGGAAGGCAGCAGATGAGGGATCAAGTGCTTGGCTCCCTGCCACCCACCATGGAAGACCTGGATGGATGGAGTTCCAGGTCTTGGCATTGGCCTGGTTTAGCCTTGGCTATTGTGAGCATTTGGGGAGTGAACCAGCAGATGAAAGATCCTGCCTCTCCCCCAATTCTGGCTCACTTTCAAATGAATGAAAATAAACATTAAAAAAATTATTTCCCTTTTTGTGACTCAGTTTCCTCATTCCTAAATTGGTGGTAATAATTGAAATAGTGGGTTCATGTGAAAGTGCTTAAACTTTTCCTGGTGGGGCCAGAACTGAGGCATAGTGGCATAGTGGGCCAGGCCTCCACCTCTGGCACCAGCATCCCATATGGACACTGGTTCATGTCTTGGCTGCTCCTCTTCTAATCCAGCTCTCTGCTTAAGGCTTAGGAAAGTAGTGGAAGATGGCACAAATGCTTGGGCCTCTGTACCCATTTAGGAGACCTAGAAGAATCTCCTGACTCCTGGCTTCAGATCTGCCCAACTCCGACTGTTGTAGCCATTTGGGGAGTGAACCAATGGATAGAAGCCTCTCTCTGTCTCTCCCTGTCTCTTTCTGTAGCTCTGCTTCTCAAATAAATAAATAAAAATCCTCAAAAAATAAAATAAACTTTTCCTGGTGCATAGTTATTGTTCAACAAATGTTAGGTGTCCTGTTGTTATAAAGCACTCAATAAATATTTGCTGTTGTTGATTGATTTTACTATTACTATTCATGGCTCAGGTCCCACCCTGAATCTTACATGGAAAGCATTATCCAAAACATGGAGTCTAAATTGAAGACAACAATTCAAAAGGAAAAGTAGTATCAGAGTCATAAATGCAATGCTTAGTGTTGGTTGTGGAAATGTGTTAACTTACCTACTCCTTTGCTTGTATCCCAGGTGGAGAGATATCTTCTAAAAGTGAACTGGATGAATTGCAGGAAGAGGTGGCCAGGAGGGCTCAGGAACAGGAACTTCGAAGGAAGCGAGAGAAGGAATTAGAGGCAGCTAAAGGATTCAACCCTCATCCCAGCCGCTTCATGGACTTGGATGAACTGCAGAGTCAGGGTAATTGTGAGCATTAGGTTGTGGGTAACTGGGACAGAGAGAAAGGGTAGAAAAAAGGGCCTAAGCTTGTAAGTTCCCTGTCTGCTCTGTAATACAGTTGTATCAGCCATTCCAGTGAGAACTGGTTAAAGTAGGAAGTGGCAAGGCTTATTGATGAGGGACTTCTACTTGCTGGAAAGAATCCTTCTCTGAAGACACCCATCCTGGATTCAGGGAGGTGGATCTGCCACACAGGAACACAGCTCAAAGCCTAATTTATTTTTGATACCATGACAATTTATTTCACAATCTCTTATTGTTTGCATGGACTTAACCTAAGGTGCCCAAGTTAGTCACTTTTTTCTCATTAGGATAACATTTTGCACCAAAAGAGACTAGCTTTTGAAATGAGAATTCAACAAGGCTGAGGTGTCTACCTTAGGATAGGCTATGAAGGCTATTTCTTAGTTTCTCTTTCCACAAAGTGGATTTATCATTCTTAATACAAGTGGTGCTAAAACAGTGTAAAGGCTGGGATCACTGCCATTTGGGTGGCTGCATTCTGTTGACCATTTCTGTGTTTTTGTTTTGTTTTGTTTTGTTTTGTTTTGTTTTTTATCAACACTTAGAAAAGCTTCCCAGACGAAGTTGTCCTAGTTTGGAGCAATTTCTCTACTCCTGTCCTACTGTCTGTTGCTTTAAGATAGTTGTTGCCTTAAATTTCCCAGAGCATTGTATTTGTTTCAAAGTTAGTTTCAAATTTCTAATTCCTTACTGTCTCTGTAATTGGATAGTCTTTTCTTCCTTTTTGACCTCATTATATGTCAATGGTGTCACAGGTTTATATTGCTTCTGAAAGAGGGGCCTTCTTGTCTCTTTCCTTGCCTACCCTCTGCCACCACCACCACCCTTACCCCTGTCACTTGGGCAGTACATTAAATCTTGGAGGAAATCCTGTTGGCTATATTTCATTTTCAATTCTCCTTACAATTAGGGTTCAGATTCTCCCTGGAGAGCTAAGATTCTGGAGGATAAGAATTAAAATCTTGCAGTGGTTGAACCATTACAATTTACCTACATTTCTACAAAGCACAGAAATGTTTCTAATGGCTTTATTCCCCATCTCTGTTTATAAAGGTTATATAGATTCAATATTTGATTCTAAATATTATAAAAACCATACCTCTAGAGATGGGATGACACCTCTGTTCAGATTCTTCAGAACGAACCTATAATTCCCATTGCTCTCAAAAAGCCATGAAGAATTAGGAGCGAATGTTAGGGATGTGGGAGAGCCTTTCTTACCTTTCTAGTGCTGTTGAAGCTAAGTGGAAGATAGGTGGAGACATTGTGAGAGGAATGACTTAGACATTTTGATTTTTTTCCCCCTACAACCTTGTGAAAGCTCAATGTCATTTCCAATTGTAGGTAAACATGTGTTACAGCTTTCTGCCAGTTTATGGTTATGAGTGAATTTAGAAATAAAAGGGGCACATAAACAAGGGTTTATTTGCAAGAGTTGCTCTTACTATTCTTCCTAACCTCTTCATCTGCCACTGTGCATGGAGTCTTCTGCACTGGCTTTGGCACACATTCACTTTGAGAAGACAAAAGAATATTCCAAGTTTACTTTACAGGAAGGTGACTTTTTGGAGGTAGTTTTGTTGAACAAAGCCGTGATAAAAGTATTTAATAGTGCTGATGAAAGGTCTCTGAATGTGAACCAACTACAATGGTCTATACACTGAGACAGGAAGTACACTGATTTTTCAGTTTGGGATGGGGCAGAGAACACTGTGAATTAACATAGGAAAGAGGTGGTATAGATGTCTTCCCACAGATTAGTGAAGCCACTTTGCCGTAAGATGGTAGTGGAGATGTGAGTGAAAGTCTAGGGTGTTCTGACAGTAGTTGACAAGATGTATCCTGCTGTTTTATGGAAGAGGAGCTCAGTTCTAGGCATAAGAGATGACATTTTGTTCTTTCCTTGAGGGACTCTGAGAGGTCCTGTAGTTGAAATATGTGGCCAGTGATGACATGTCTCTTTCATGGCCTCCGTAAGACCTCAGTTAATAGAAAAGTGGATGTCCTACGTGTTTTGGAGAATTCTCACTCGCAGTGGACAGTTGGAGTAGGGGTATTCCAGTTGCTCAGCAGCAAGGATCTGCATGTACTAAAGGGAAATTACAGTATGTAACAAAAGTTGGAACGAATTGTAATGAAAATGAAAAGTGCTGGCCCTTTCAGGGAGGAGTGACGGCTTTGAGCGGTCCCTACAGGAGGCAGATTCAGTGTTTGAAGAGTCGCTGCATCTGGAACAAAAGGGAGACTGTGCCGCAGCTTTGGCTCTCTGTAACGAAGCTATCTGTAAGTAACTCTAACTGCTATGGCTATGCAATTTTGACTAACTTCACAATAGATTTTATTTGTGTTGTCACTCATATGAGGTAAAAATGGTTTTTATGTCTCCTCACTCGTGCTCCCACACTGAGGCCCATTAGCTGTCTTTGCTCTGCAAGGTCACTATGGCCTATGGATATTTACTGGAGTAACCTCACAGGAATCCACAAAAGAATCCTCCAGCTCTGCCTACCTTCCTACTCCAAGATTATCAGACCTCAGACATGAGGTTAGTCTGCTCTTTCTCTGGTCACTGACTATTGAGTTGGAGCTTATGGTAGGAAAACTGAATGAGTTGGTTACGATTTCCTAGCACTGTGACTTTCCACTGTAATTTATTTGATTGATTCCTTTTGTTTCTCCCTTCCCTCCCTGGTATGCAACACAATAAAGTTGCATCAAGGGACTGAGGCTTCGAATCTGATTCCTAAATGTGACCCTTAAGAAGTTGTGCTCTATAAATGCAGATGCAGGTATGGATCTTATATCTGCTATTGGCCATCTGGAAGGGGGAGTTGAGAGTAGAGTATAGAGACTGGAGTTGGACAGGTCAGTTGAAAAGAGTAAAGAGTGGCAACTTCTAAGATGTAAGCAATAGTTTATCTTCCTGACTCATTTTAGTTTAGCTTTTGTTTTGTTTTGTTTTCATTTGAATTAACCTGTTTGGCCTCCCTGGCTTCCATGAATGTTCCTTACAGCCAGAGCCAGCTATGTGCCTTGGACAGCACATGCATGGTCCATGCATTGCATTCCTGCTGCATATTTTGAGTTTTACTGCATATATTTGCTCATTTTTAGTTCAGTTTTATTCTTTTTATTTTTGTTCGTATTTTGTGTTCTGTTTCTGCTATATTTTCTTTTGCATTTTAGCTAAACTAAGACTTGCCCTGCATGGTGCCAGCTCTAGCACACACAGCAGAGCCCTAGTCGATAAGAAGTTGCAAATCAGTATTCGAAAAGCACGGAGCCTGCAGGATCGCATGCATCAGCAGCAGTCATCGCAGCAGCCGTCGCAGCCCTCAGCTTGCCTCCCCTCTCAGGGAGGGGCCTTCCCTCAGCTGACAAGGTAGTGCTTGGGAGCCATGTTAGTATATGGATGGCAGGGGAGGAAGTAACCGTGCGTGCTCTGTACAAGAGCTCTCATTGTCTTGGTGACTGTAGGGGGAGAGAGAAGAGCCCTCCGAAAAGATTTTCTTCTCTCAGGTGAGACATACAGTGAAAAACTCAATGCACTGCTGGTCCTTTGCTTAATAGTTTCCAGAAAGATGCAAAAAGTACAGCAGCATAAGTAGACCACTTGTCCAAATTTCCTGCAGGTGAGTTTGTCCTTGGACTTGTATAATAACACAGTGATTGTGCTTGTACATATTCTGTTCTTACATGTATCAATCTAGGCTACATTTGATGTTGCAATAGCAACCATGTCGTTTATTTTGGAATTTCAGTGCTTCTTGTCCCTTACAGAATCAGACAAAGTAGTCTTGCTCTGATTAAACCACAGAGAAAATACATGAAATTCCTTTTGCCTTGCTTCTTTATGGTCAAGGCTAAGAAAAAATCTCAGAAGCCACTGGTGTAGTTCCTACATTGTAGCCTTGGAATTTGGCTTTTATTTGGAATACATGAATTTAAGTAAAAATTATTTTTAGCTGTTAATGGGTTTGAGTAGTTCTCAAATATAAGAATAATTGAAAAAAATAAGAATAATAAAAGTTGCTAACAGTTTTTGAGCATTTGTCGAGTCCAATCATTTAGCTAAGTAAGCACTCTGGATGTTTTACTTCATTCTCATAATGCTAAACTTAAGAGATAGAGGCTATTATCTAGCATGTTTCACTTTAAGGAAAGTGAGGTTCAGAGAGGACAAGTAAGATATCCAAGTGGTAGAAGTGTGGAATTCATATCCAGGTCTGTTTGATATAAAATGCATTTCCTTATTCCTTCTGTAATATTGCCTTTTGTAATTAGGCTTCCCCTATATCATATTCTTCATGTTATAAGGGTGGCTGGGTGACTGTACCCACAAAAGTTTACAGTATGTAGATTGAATGTCTTACTCTAAATGTTTGGGATTAGAAGTATTTCAGAGTTTGGCATTTTTCAAATTTGGGAATATTTGCATAGTCTTTACTGGTTGAACATCCCTAATCTGAAAATCTAAAACTTGAGATGCTTCAAAATCTGAAACCTTTTTTTTTTTTTTGACAGGCTGAGTGGATAGTGAGAGAGAGAGACAGAGAGAAAGGTCTTCCTTTGCCGTTGGTTCACCCTCCAATGGCTGCCACGGCTGGCGCGCTGTGGCCTGCGCACCGTACTGATCCAAAGGCAGGAGCCAGGTACTTCTCCTGGTCTCCCATGGGGTGCAGGGCCCAAGCACTTGGGCCATCCTCCACTGCACTCCCGGGCCACAGCAGAGAGCTGGCCTGGAAGAGGGGCAACCAGGACAGAATCCGGCGCCCTGACCGGGACTAGAACCCAATGTGCCGGCACCACTAGGTGGAGGATTAGCCTATTGAGCCGCGGCGCTGACGAAACCTTTTGAATATTGACATGACACTCAAGCAATTTTAGATTTGGCAGCATTTCAGATTTTGGATTTTCAGGTTAGGGACGCTCAACCTGTGCTTTCATTCAAATGTAATTTACATATATATATATATTTAATTTAATTTATTTAAGATAGAGAGAGAGAGAGAGGCAGGTAGACAGAGATCTTCCATTTCACTTCTCAAATGCCCACAATAGCCAGGGTTGGGCCAAGCTGTAGTTAAGAACCAGAAACTCAATCTGGGTTTCCATGTGAGTGGCAGGGATCCCACTACTTGAGCCAACATCTGTTATTCTTCAGGGTGCACATTAGCAGGAAGCTAGAATTCGAAGGAGAGCCAGAATTTTAACCCAAGCACTCTAATACAGTGGATGTGGGTTCCAAATGGTACTTACCCACTGCACCTAACACATTCCCCTTGTTCAAATTTAGAAACTCGTTTTGTATATCAGCAGTTTAGGCAGCTAAACTCTTTACAGGAAAGTTACACCACTTGATATATGTGAATGATTGAAGTTTTATTTACATGCTTGTAACACTGAGTTTTTTATGTCAGAAATACAAAACAATTAGTAAGAAACCAACAAAATACAGTTAATTTCTTTTCTTTTCTTTTCTTTTTATTTTTTTTAACAGGCTGAGTTAGACAGTGAGAGAAAGAGAGACAGAGAGAAAGGTCTTCCTTTTCCATTGGTTCACTCTCCAAATGGCTGCTGCGGCCAGCGCGCTGCACCGATCCGGTGCCAGGAGCCAGGTGCTTCCTCCTGGTCTCCCAAGCACTTGGGCCATCCTCCACTGCCTTCCCGGGCCACAGCAGAGAGCTGGACTTGAAGAGGAGCAACCGGGACAGAATCCGGTGCCCCAACCGGGACTAGAACCTGGGGTGCCGGCACCGCAGGTCGAGGAATAGCCTATTGAGCCACGGCGCTGGCCATATACAGTTAATTTCTATTTCTACTCCTAAATCTTAAGATAATTGTAGTATATTATTTTGAGGAAACATCTCAGGGAATAATACAGTCTTGTCCAAATTATGAAAACACATTAGAAATGGTTGATTTCTATGTAATTTCCTGAGCCCATATCACCCTGTATTCTCTAAATGTGGCCTTTTGGTGCCTTTGGCTGGGCCACCTCTCAGGATCCTTCAGGTAGGAGGACTTCCCTGCCTGTACAGCATCCTGGAGTTTTGTTGTTTGTTATGTGTGTTTTCATGCTTTGCTTACTGTCTATGTCATCTGCTTGTGGGTTTAACAATTTATATTATTTTTTTTTTAATTTGCAGGTAGAATGTGATTAGACTGCACTGTACTGTGCGACTTTGTTGATAGCATTTGATAAAAAAGGATTAATATTACCTCTTCACCTGGGTGGGGCTGACCGTGTGTCTTTTGTGAACCTCTGAATGGTTGACACTTGTGCTTGTCTCTCTATTTATTTTTAACCATTCTCTCTAAGGATAGCTAGAAATGGAAATGGAATGAACAGTTCCTTTTGAAAGTGTTCTTGTCAATCAAGGCAGCTTCTGACTGGATCTCTCAATTTGTTTCAGTGAACAGCCTATCCCGCTCCAAGTATTGTTAAGCCCAGAGGCCCACTTGGAATCCCACACGGATACAGAGTTTGGGGCCAGTTCTTTCTTCCACTCATCTGCTTCCTGCCATGAGCCACGCTCATCACTATTCCCAGAATCACTTGCGCCATCTTCCCCACAGCACAATTCTCCCAGTAGATCTGCCTCAAAGATTCTGACTTCAGTTGAGGTGGACAGTATTGACCACTCTGCATTCCATAGGCAGGGTTTACCCAAACCAGCAGAGAGGACAGAGAAGAATTCTCATGGTTGGGTGCCGTTGGATGCCTCAGAGGGTAAGCCGCAAGGCCACAGGGATGATGGCAACTGCAGCAAGTTCCCTCCACCAGAAGGAAGAGGCATTGCTCAAGAACAGTTGCTCCAAGAAAAGAGAGATTCTGCTGACCCATCCCTGGTGATGCCAGGGTCATACCCAACTGGAATAGCCACCTCTGAGAGAGAGGTACATGCTCCAAACTGTAGCTCTTCAAGTTCATCAGCTCAGCCCAGCCTTCCCCCATATAGGGCCTGCCATCCCATAATGCCTGCTTCGTCTTCATCTGTGCTTCATTCTCCTGATACTGTGCAGAAAACTAACCAATGCCTCCAAACCCAAAGCCCCCAAACGTCACTGACTTCAAAAGTGGACAGAGGCAGCGAGGAGCCCTATAGGCCAGACTTTCCCAGCAAAAAGGGACTTGTCCGTTCTCTGGCGGAGCAGTTCCAGAGGATGCAAGGTACCTCTACGAGGGACAGTCCAGGTTCCCAGGACAGACATTTGCCAAACAGTCTAAGGAAGAACTCTTCTCCCTCTAACTTTAAGCCTCCTGTCCTACAGGATCAAGGGAAAGGTCATTGTCTTTGGGCAAAACAGCAGCCCTCTGTGGATGGAAGAGACAGGCTGCCTTCCTGGGAAGACCCTAATGACCATCCTCTTCTTGCCATGAACTCTGGACTGTCTAATGGTGAAACTTCTGGGAGAGGACAGCCCAGGTTGGTAGAGCCATCTGTATACCAAGGAAAGCTGTCCCAAGTAAGAGAAGCTAGGCCTAAGGAGGTGGGCAGCAGTATCGACTTGGGGACTTCCTTGCCTCTGGATTCCTGGGTGAACGTCACTAGACTCTGTGATTCTCAGCTTGAACATGGGGTTCCTGGGCCAGGAATTAGGTCCTCCCCCCACAATTCCCATACCTGTGTAACCTATTCAGAGAGAAATCATATCCTTTTGCATCCACATTGGAACCAAGACACAGAGCAGGAGACCTCAGAATTGGAGTCTCTCTACCAGGCCAGTCTGCGGGCTTCTCAAGCTGGATGTTCTGGATGGGGGCAGGAGGATGTGCCCTGGCACCCCCTTAGCCAAATAGGTAAGATTTCGGCCAGGGTTGGGGAGGAGTAGATGCCAACATACAAGCTCAAAGTAGGATGACAAAATCAGAAGAGGAGTAGTATTCTATACTATATTTCTAGTTAAGAAAGAAGTAGTAGAACTTCTGACTTTATTCAGAAGTTACTCAGAAAGTCTTCAGGACAAGAACTAGATGTTTTTCGAACCAGAGTGTGGGAATAGGGGACCAATTCCTTCCTTCTAAAAAAGCATGGAACACTAAATATTTGTTTGTGGCTTCTCCAGTATTCAGTGCTAAAGAATGGTTTATAGGTTTATAGGTCTTTGAGAGTGACTAGCAAGAGATGGGGGATGGAGGAGAGTCTGAGAGAAAAAAAGTCATTCTTCTGTGGCTTAGGAACTGAACTAATCCCAAGATCACCCTTCAAGTTCACCTTGCAACAAGGGTGTCCACACTGAACCAAGTCTCCAGTGGGGCATTTCCAGACTACACTGAGTTAAGCCAGCCCTGCAATGCTAGCATCCCATCTGAGTGTGGTTTTAAGTTCTAGTTGCTCTAATTCTGATCTAGCTCCCTAATGTACCTGTGAAAGCAGCAGAATATGACCCACATGCTTGGTCCTTCAGCTACCCATGTAGAAGACCCGGATAGAGTTCTGGGATCTTGGCATTGGCTTGGTCCAGTTCCGGCCATTGTGTTCATTTTGGGAGTAAACCAGTAGATGGAAAAACCTCTCTCTGTCTCTTGTCTTCCCCTTTCTCTCTCTGTAACTCTGCCTTTCAAATTAATAAATCTTTTTTAAAAATAGTAATGAATATACAAAATAATACTTTGCAATATTGAATTAGTTGAATGTTAAACATTGTGTGTGTGTATATATATTTCTTCTTCTTCTTTTTTTTTTTTTAAGTTTGAGACATCATACTTAGTTCATTTGAAAAAGGGGCAGCTCCCATCTGCTGGTTCATTCCCTCAATTGCTTGCAATAGCCATTAGTGGGCAAGGATGAAGCTGGGAGCTTGGAACTCAATCTGGTTCTCCCAGACTGGGTGACAAGGACCCAACTATTTGAATCATTACCTACTGTCTTCCAGGTTGTGCATTAGCAAGAAGCATTACTGTATGGGCGGAGCTCTCCCCAAGTAACATCTTAACTGCTAGGCCAAGCACCCACCCCAGATATTATGTTTTAGAAAAAAAAGCCAAAATAACCTTAAAATAGATTACTCCAAATAGGAACATTTTTTCACTGTAGATAGCTTTAAAACCACATAAAATATAAGAAAAATAAAATATAAAATATAAGAAAAATCATTGATAAATTCAATATTTTCATGTTTACACTTGGTTTTGATTTCTATATATTTCTATAATTGAATATTTAAATTGTTCACAATTTTTTTATATTGTAGCACTGTGAGGAATATCTTTGCATTTGTGTTTTGCCGGGTCTGATTATCTCTAGAATGAATTTTTTTTAAGGATTTATTTATTTATTTGAAAGTCAGAGTTACACAGAGAGAGAAGGAGAGGCAGAGAGAGAGAGAGAGAGAGAGGTCTTACGTACACTCGTTCACTCCCCAATTGACCATAATGGCTGGAGCTGCACCAATCCAAAGCCAGGAGCCAGGAGCTTCTTCCGGGTTTCCCACGCAGGTGCAGGGGCCCAAGGAGTTAGGCTATCTTCTAGTGCTTTCCCAGGCCATCTTCTAGTGCTTTCCCAGGCCATAGCAGAGAGCTGGATTGGAAATGGAGCATCTTGGACTTGAACCAGTACCCATATGGGATGCTGGCTCAACACCAGCCCATAATGAACTTTTAAAAAGAGATGAGTGTTTGGCATGGTGGTTAATTCACTGCTTAGGACTCCTGCATCCCGTAGTGGCATGCCTTGTTTGAGTCCTGACTTTTCAGCTTCCAATCCAGCTTCCTATTGATGCGCACCCTGGAGGCATCAGATGCTGGCTGAAGTACTTGGGTCCCTGATACCACGTGTGATACTTATATTAAATTCCACCTTCCTGGCTTTGGCTTGACCAATCCCTGGGTGTTCCAGGCCCTTGGAAGACGGGGGTGAACTGACAATTGGAAAAGTTCTCTCTGTCTTTCAGAGAAGATGAAAATAAATAATAAAACTTAAAAAAAATTAGAAGTCCAATAACTAGATGAAGGTTATAAACTTTTAAAAATCCATTGATACAGACTGGCAAATTAGTCTCAAGATTATATTTAAGAAAACAGTGTGAAAGAATGTCTACAAACCGTTATTTTTTTACTTAATAGTGAACATAAACTGATTTTAAGAAGCTACCTAGAGGGGCTGGTGCTGTGGTGCAGTAGGTTACAAGCCCTGGCCTGAAGCGCCAGTATCCCATATGAGCACCGGTTCTAGTCCCAGCTGCTCCTTTTCCGATCCAGCTCTCTGCTATGGCCTGGGATGGCAGTAGAAGATGGCCCAAGTCCTTGGGCCTCTGCACCTGTGTGGGAGACCCGGAAGAAGCTCCTGGCTTCGGATTGGCACAGCTCCAGCCATTGCGGCCATCTGGGGAGTGAACCAGCAGATGGAAGACCTGTCTCTACCTCTCTCTGAAACTCTGTCTTTAAAAAAAAAAAAAAAAAAAAAAAAAAAAAAACCAGAATCTAGGCTGGCGCCGCGACTCACTAGACTAATCCTCCGCCTTGTGGCGCTGGCACACCGGGTTCTAGTCCCGGTCGGGGCGCCGGATTCTTTCCCGGTTGCCCCTCTTCCAGGCCAGCTCTCTGCTGTGGCCAGGGAGTACAGTGGAGGATGGCCCAAGTGCTTGGGCCCTGCACCCCATGGGAGACCAGGATAAGTACCTGGCTCCTGCCATCGGATCAGTGCGGTGCACCGGCCTTTGGAGGGTGAACCAACGGCAAAAGAAGACCTTTCTCTCTGTCTCTCTCTCTCACTGTCCACTCTGCCTGTCAAAAAAAAAAAAAAAAAAAAAAAAAAAAAGAAAAGAAAAGAAAAAGAAAAAGAAAAAAAAAAGAATCTACCTGTAGTGCATTTTTGGCTTAGTGAGTAAGATGCCTGAACCCTAAACCAGAGTGCCTGAGTTTTAATTCCTGGCTCCAGCTTCCAAGTTGTTAATAAATACTGGGAAGGGTATTACAATATTTTCTTTTACTCCTTACTTTTTAATGTATTTGAAAGTTTCTATAACAAGAGTTATTTTTCCTTTTTTAAGTAGATATCTATAGGGTGATATCTGTAAGTAAAATGTCTGCCCAACTTCAACATACTATGAAATTCAGAATAGATCAACAGCACAGATTATGTAATTCTTTGGTAACTATAATCATGTCAAATTTAATATAGCAACAAAATATAACATACTGGGGCCAGTGTTGGGCCACTGTTTGCAATACTGTATTCCATACTGGAATACCTGTCTGAGTTCTAGCCACCCCCTTTCTGATCCAGCTTCCTAATCATGTGCCTAAAAAGGCAGTGAATGTGGCCCCTGCCATCCATGTGGGAGGTCAGGATGGAGATCTTTTCTCCTGGCTTTGGCCTGGCTCCCCCAGGCTATTCCAGCCATTTGGGGGAGTGAACCAGTGAGTGAAAGAAAGATCTTGATCTCTCTCTCTCTTTCCCTCCCTCTCTCTGTCATTCTGCCTTTCAATAAATACATGAATAAAACTTTTAAGAAATACTGTGTGATTCCATTTACATTTATCTGAAATTTCCAAAACAGGCAAATATATAGAGTCAGAAAATAGATTACTAGTTGCCTGAAGCAGAGAAGAAGAGTAGAGAAAAATGAGGAATATCTGCTAATGGATATAGAATTTCTGAGGTAATGAAAGTACTTCAAAACTGATTGTGGTGATGTATCAAAAATCATTTATTGTATATTTTATATAGCTTTTTATAGATGACATGCATGGCACTGAAAATATAAAGCTTCGTTCCTTTTTTTTTCTAAAGATTTATTTATTTATTTGAAAGTCAGAATTACACGGAGAGAGGAGAGGCCAGAGAGAGAGGTCTTCCATCCGATGGTTCACTCTCCAGTTGGCCACAATGGTCAGAGCTGCGCCAATCCAAAGCCAGGAGCCAGGAGCTTCTTCCAGGTCTCCCATGCAGGTGCAGGGGCCCAAGGACTTGGGCCATCCTCTACTGCTTCCCCAGGCCATAGCAGAGAGCTGGATCAGAAGTGGAGCAGCTGGGTCTTGAACTGGCGCCCACATGGGATGCCAGCACTTCGGGCTAAGGCATTAACCCGCTGCGTCACAGTGCTGGCCCCTTTCTGTCTTTCTTAGAAAGAACTCCCATTTTCTGATTAACTCTCCCAGGTGACCACAACGGCTAGGGCTGGGCCAGGCTGAACCCAGGAGCCTAGAACTCTACCTGCATTTCCCACATAGGTGCAGGAGCCCAAGGACTTGGGTAACCTGCTGCCTTTCCAGGAGCATTAGCCAGGGAACTGGATCAGAAGTAGAGCAGCCAGTACTCAAACTGGCAGCCATATTGAATGCTGGCACAGGCAGACAGCTGTAATTGTTAAAACTTACTCTATATAAGGCCGGCGCTGCGGCTCACTAGGCTAATCCTCCGCCTTGCGGCACCGGCACACCGGGTTCTAGTCCCGGTCGGGGTGCCGGATTCTGTCCCGGTTGCCCCCTCTTCCAGGCCAGCTCTCTGCTGTGGCCTAGGAGTGCAGAGGAGGATGGCCCAGGTGCTTGGGCCCTGCACCCGCATGGGAGATCAGGATAAGTACCTGACTCCTGCCATCAGATCAGCGTGGTGTGCAGGCCGCAGCACGCCAGCCGCAGCAGCCATTGGAGGGTGAACCAACGGCAAAGGAAGACCTTTCTCTCTGTCTCTCTCTCTCTCACTGTCCACTCTGCCTGTCAAAAAAAAAAAAAAAAAAAAAAAACAAAACTTACTCTATATAGTCATCTGAGGAGAGGCTAAAAAATTATGTTTAGAGATGTATGTAAAAGGAAACTAGCATAGTGCTATTTTTATTATAACTAAATGTCCTGTCTCT